GGGCGATGGAGGCTGTATAAGGTTGTTTAAATAGGGTGCAAACCCTCAGATTAGGGTTTTGTCCAGACAAAGCCTACTCGTCGAGTCCAGGACCCGACTCGACGAGTCCCATACTTAAATCTCGCGTCTCATCCCGCTTCTACTCGACGAGTTGGGCCTTCAACTCGCCGAGTCCCAGGCCAAAAATGCAAATTTACTTAAATAAAATACATACTAGGAACCAGGTGCTACACCACTCCTTGAAGGGGTTCCCTTCAAATTGTGTGTCATTGTCACTTATGAGAACTTTGGGTGTGCCAAAGCGAGCCAATATATTTTTGATCATGAACTTTATCATTTGCTTTCCCGAGACGGTGGTGAGCAGTTCCGCCTCTATCCACTTTGTAAAATAATCCATAGTAACTAACAAGAATTTCACACCCCCTGGCGCTAGTGGGAATGGTCCCACTATGTCAATCCCCCACTGATGGAAGGGCCAGGGGCTGGTGATGCTGGTCAACGGCATGGCCGGTTGATTCTGGAAAGGAGCGAATGTCTGGCATTCTTTACATTTCTTGGTTAGGGTTGCTGCCTCGTTGTATATGTCTAGCCAATATACTCCTAGGTAGAGTATTTTGCCCGTGAGTGCTCGAGCCCCTTCGTGCGCTGCCGTGTCTCCGGAATGAATTTCCTCCAGGAGCGCCTGTCCTTCTGTCTTAGAGATGCACTATATCCATGGGCTTAAATTCCCTCTTCGATACAGTTGGTTGTCTCTAATTGCGAAATATGACGCCCTGACCTTGACTTTTCTCGCTTCTGCCGAGTCGTCTGGGAGTACACCGTGGCGCAAGTAATCGACGTATGTTTTGGTCCATTCTGGGGTAGCCGAGACTATATTAACCTTTTGGTTATCAATGCTTCTCTTTGGGAGCACTTCGACTAACACTTCTTTGTTAGGTGATCAAAGGAAGTTGAGGCTAGCTTGTTGAGAGCGTCCGCCCTCGTATTTTTTCCACGGGAGATTTGCTTTATTGAAAGGTTTTTAAACGTGCTTGTTAAGCTGCGAACTGCATCTAGGTACTTCTGCATCCTTGGATCTTTGGCTTTATATGTTATGTTTATTTTGTTCGTGATGAGTAACGAATCACTGAGAGCTGCTAATTGCTTTGCACCAACCTTCCTTGCTAACCTCAGGCCTGCTAGGAGTGCTTCATATTCTGATTCGTTATTAGATACTTGGAAATCGAATCGCAGTGCGTAAGTGATTTCTTCGCCTTTGGGGCTTTGAAGGATCAGGAATGCGCCTAATCCTTCCTTACTTGTTGCGCCTTCGGTGTATAATTTCCAAAGCTCTTTAGTGGCTTCAGGCTCCAATGGGTCGACGAAGATTATCGTTGGTGTTCTCTTGATAGTATCTGGGATTTCGACTAGGAAATCTGCGAGGGCCTGGGCCTTGATACTAGTTCGGGGGTGGTAATTGATATCGTGTTTGCCTAATTCTATGGCCCACTTGACCAGGCGTCCAGAATTTTCCGGCCTTAGCAGAACTTGCTTTATCGGGTAGCTGGTTAGGACATCCACCTTGTGAGCTTGGAAATACCGCCGTAGCCGCCTTGCAGCGTACACTAGGGTGAGGACCAGTTTCTCTAAGACTGTGTAATTAACCTATGGCCCTTACAAGGCCCTACTTACAAAGTGGATGGGGACCTGTTTTCCTTCCCTTTCCACCGTCAACATAGAGGAGATAGCTTCTTTCGATGCTGCTAGGTACATCTGTAGCGTTTCTCCTGGTAGCGGGCAAGCGAGGGCCGGTAGCTGGTGTAAGGCATCTTTCAGTCGTTGTAATGCTTCGTATGCTCTTTCTGTCCATTTGAATTGCTTTTTATCTAAGCACCCTTTGAGGGTTTGGCATAGGGGAAGCACCTTTCTGCTGATTTGGCAATAAATCTTCCTAATGCCGTTAGCCGACCATTGATTTCTTATACACCTTTGAGGTTGTGGGGAGTTTTCAACTCGAGAAGCTCTGGTCTACAACAAGCCAAAAAGTATCAATTGCTCCCCAAAGCGACAAGTGTAGCATTCAGAGCACTACCCTTCGGTAGTGCTGCACCAATAGCAGATAACCACTAGTAGTGCATGATCCATCAATAGGATGCCTCTACGTCCTGTTGGCCTAGACAAGACAAAAGGTACTGTCGGGGACATGCTCCCACGACGACAGGTATAAAAGAAACCTTTCTTCTCTAGAAGAAAGGATCGCCTCATTCTCTACCTTAAACTAAACCCTAATTCTCTCATCCAATTACCGATTAGACTGTCGGAGCTTTGTTACGGGACTCCCTCCCGGACGACCACTGACATCGGTTCATTCTTTGTTATGATTCTCAAGCTTAACCAGGACGGAGCTACCCCAAACGGTGTTAAGCTCGAAGCACATATCACAACAATGTATCATACCAAAACAAGGCTTTATCACCATATTTGACCATTAATTTAAATATATCCATAGTAGCCAAGTTATGTATTTGTAATTCTTTTTTAATACTCGCGATATTGTTCCATACTCTACTACTGTATTTTTTTTTTTTTGCAAGATGATCATAAGGCATTCCAGATAAGTAATAATTCCTTTTATGACTAAAATGGTGGCCAAACATCTTTGACAACCTCGAAATTGTATGTTTCCCCATTTTCAATGATTTTGATGTCCTCATTGATCCATTTTTTCTTCGATGTTAATACTCCTACCTTTCCCATCGAAAGATCTCTTATGTTCTGGATGTTATCAAATGGATTAATGACTCTCCTGAATCTACTAGCAATTAGAGAAAAGTTGTCCTCATCCCAGGATTTCAGTGGTACTCCTAAAATTTTACTCAATGTCGTTCTTTCATATTGAAGTTCCTTGTGATCACCATAGATAATCCACTTGAACCAGTCTTTCCATCTATCTTTGTCCTTTAAGAATTCATTGGCTTCAACAGAATATTCGAAACTTAGAGCAATCCTTAACCCACCATGATATTTCGTACCTTCACTCATGAGAAAAGTTGTTGGTAAGCTACCAATGTGGTCTAGGCTATGTGCCTCATCAATTAGAACACTCATTCGCAACCATTCGTTCATCTGGCATTTGGGTTAAGAGCAATAGAGGGTGTGTTTTTAGATTGAATGTCACTGTTACCTACAATAACCTGTGCAAATGATCTCGTATCTCTGAATCTGGTCGAAATTAGGAAGGATTGGGGAGCAGCTCATCGACGATTGTGAGGATTGGAGTTTTGAAATGATTTCATCTGGTGTGTTCATACGTTTACAAACAACTGTATGTCACATCACTTGATACCTTGAGTGAATCTTCTAGGGCTTTCACATCATTCACTCCTAAAAATCTTATGAATGCAAAATTCTTCCTACGATAATCATTTTTCCTCTATGTAGAAGCCAATTATTTGTCCATATCTAGTAAATGGTATTCTCAACTCATATTTTCTAGTGCCATCTGGGAATCCTGCCACATATAAACTGATTTAGTCGGGGTTATTGTGTTTAGGAAGCTGCTTTCTTCGTTGGACTTCTGTCCACTCGCCTCTGGGGTGATGACCTCTCATCTCCATAGTTGATTGCTGATTTCTATTTACAATTTTATATGTGTGGTATATGATTATTGATAATAAAATGTTTTTTTTTTAATTATAACTAATTTAAGATGTATTCTTTAATTTTTTTTTCTTGTTGATACATTTAATATCCTTAAGGAAAAAATTAAATTCAAATTAATTCATTCTTGAAGAAATTGACAACGTATACAATAATCATTAATCCATTTATCATTATTCATAAATACTAAAATGAGCCAAGGTAATCAGTAAATTTATTCAAAGTTCAATTATGAAAACAACCTTTTTTCGAAAAAATACAAGGCAATGTTGCCCACTAAGACGTTCACTTCACATGTCGAGTGGAGTAATAATTTTCTTCATATCCCATCTTCTATGGCGTTGATTATTGCAACCTTACCGTAGCTTTAAATTTCACATGATTACCCTTCAATTCAAACCACCAAGGCACCTACAAGAATTTCTACTCTCGTTCCAAAGTCAAGCCACGCTTTTTCCAATCACCGTGAAAGCTCCGCTTAATTACTTTGTGGTTGAATTCTAAGTCCTTAAGTTCTAATCATGATTTTAAAAAAAATTGATGCATACAGTACAAATGTTGATGTGTGGCTTGATTATGTCAGCACTAGTATGAATAAAAGTAAGATGACACCAACGACAAATTTGCCGAAGTAATCCATAGCTCGGAATTTGACGAAATTCGCACACAACATGTAAAATGAGCAGCTTAAGAGAACTCATCGTTTCGACATAACTTGTGGTGTTTTTCGGCCATTCGGGATTGTTTAAGGGCTTCAAAATGCGTTTTTTCTGGTTTTTTTATTTATTTCAACAACTTTTTTTCTTGAATTTTTATTTAGATAATTAATTGAGGATCTTTTCCTAATCAATTAAGATCTCTTAGGTTAAGGATGAAAGTTTATCTTATCCTCCTTAAGATTTCGTTTCCATTGTTTGATTGTTTTTTTATTATTAATTAAGAACCAATTTTAAAGTTATATTTTTTTTGTTTGTATTTTTGTTGGTTGTATTGTCATTATTGAGAGAGAGAGAGAGAGAGAGAGAGAGAGAGAGAGAGAGAGAGAGAGA